TTTCCTTCGAGAAAAACTGTAGAGCTGAGAGAAAAAAAACCGCAAAAAAACACACAGCTACTATTTTCGGCATTTTTCTGAAATAAGAAAACTATTACTAAAAATTGCTATATCTGTCAAAACTTCATCGAAGCAGTAGTTTGAGCACAAGCTAAAAAATTTGAGCACAAGCTAAAAAATTTTTCAACTGCAAAAATCATGTCAAAAGAGTGGACTTTGTTGGGAAATAGTGGCAGCATCTTGCAATGCCCGTGATTTCAACAAATGACGGGTAGGTAAGCGATATTGCTCCCATCACAGCCTGCTTTAACCGACAAGACAAGGCAATCACGCAAAACCTCGGCTGGGACTTCCAAGTCTTTCAGTATCGATGGAACCATACTTTAGGGAATTGAAGATTTGTAAATAGCATTAAGACATTGCGAACAGGTTCGACCTTTTGTGAAATTAGGGATTCAGAGTAGTCAATGAGAAGAGTAGTATATTATTAAAAGATGTCTAAAAGCAGTGCCGTCGAATCAAGACTGTTGGAAATGTTTAAATTGAAGTTAGTTATACAGTCCCGAAAGTGCTGTGATTTGAAGAAACTATAGCTGATATGGTACTCTAGACGCAAATGCAGCGACTAGTGTGAAGCGATAGTGGTACGTCGAGTGAAATTGCAAGCAGAGGTTCGGATTTGAGGCCTACATAGTGAGCCAGGTATTTACTATGAATGCTGCTTACTATTTGAAAGATAAGTATCTCACCTCATTCTTCCAGAATGAGAGAAAAGCTTCATCAGTCATTTGAAGAGCTGCCTAAAAATTTAAGTGCTTGAAGACCGACCGCAGACCCATCTAGGAAACTAACATGTTTATCAAGAAAGACTAGGTGCTGTAAAGCAAGCGAAAGACACTTTTAAAAATTAAGTTCCCAAACAATACGCTGCTACAAAGACCACGTTTCTCGCAACACTGCTTCCTTTCACGCCGAAAATGACTACTGCTCTTCACCCAACCCCTTTTCATCTCTGTCGCCAGAGTCATACCCTCTTTACAAAGACAAAAGCTTATCAAAAGTTACAGTCGTAGAGAAATGATCCAAATTTCGTATTTTCACCTAAAAAGACACTGTTCTTACCAATTTAAGCCAAAAAAGCATACGATA